ATTTTTGTAAGTACCCTTTTTTTAATACCTCATTCCTACCCATTTTCCTCTGTGCCGACGTGTGCACGAAGAACCAGAAAGGCGAAACCCACCCTTGACGACGCTGTCTTCTGTCTTCTTGCTTCTCTCTCAGTCGTTTGTCGTCATCGGCCACGCCACTGCCTTCCTATTGTTATAAAATCTGATTTCTATGTATTCCTTCTCTTTTTTGCGTCGAACAATTTCTTAGATTAAGTGGATTGAATACGGCTATTTTATTGAAATTTGTCTTATTACTGGTGATAAGATGGAGATTTGTGGAGGCATAATTCTTTCAATAAAGCATGCTCATAACGATTCTCTTGCTCAACAAGTAGTTAGCTAAATAATTGAATGGATGAGAATGTTTGATTAAGCTTAAAATAGAAGTTATGGTGTAATTACATTTTTAATCCCATATATTTTTAAAATAAATTATTTTTCTATTGCTTTTTAAGCAAAAATGTTATACTTTTGTATAGTAAAATTTACCTTGGTTTGAAAATAAATAATTTATTTATTACTAACTTTCACGAATATAAAAATATTTATTTTTAAAACTTTCAGCTCTACTTTAGTGTGATTTTTTTTGGAAAAAAATTCACAACTAAGGCATTAACTATGCACAATTCAAAATTCAGGTTTTAAGTTTAATTAATGCAAAAATCAGGTATTTATTTACTAATTAAATATATTTTATTAATTAAATATAATAAAGTCATAATTATACAATTAATAGTTATAAGTACATAATCATAAGTCACAACTTATTTATTGATCATGTATTATCAAATTAATTCGAGGTCACAAATCAAAAATTTTATAGGTTACATTTTATTTTATTGGTCATATATAAAAAATTATAGATCACAATTTATCAATTATCACATATTTTCAAATTTATTGGTCACAAATTATCGAATTTTAAGGTCACGATTTATTTTATTGGTCATAAATAAAAAAAAAATTATAGGTAATAGTTTATCAATCAGTCACGCATTTTTAAATTTGTTGATCACAAATTATTGAATTTTAAGATCACAATTAAAAGTTGGTCACAAGTAACCAAATAATTGGTCACGCGTCAATTAGTGGTCACATACGACCACCGCCTACACTGCCGTCGCTGCCATAACAGCACTACCACCACGACATAACCACCAACAAAATCGCTGCAATGAAATCCAATCAATTGCTAACAAAAATCATGACAATCAACTCTATCAGATCTCCAATCACCAACAACCACCACCCCGTCGTCGCCACCAGATCCATTGCCAACCCTATAACTGTTGCTGTCACCACAACAACACCACCACCAACAAAACCGTCTCCACTAGATCCAACAAAAAAATAATCCTAAACCCACCACCACCTCCATCCCCGTCGCTACCACCAGATCCACCACCATCTCCGTCACCCCAACAACAAAGACATCACACTACACCACAACCACAACCACCACCCACCATAAACCCGCTACCACCACCAACCTCATCTCCTTGGACAACACCATAGACATCACCACCAACAAATCTCCTTGATCCTGTCGTAATCGACTCATATCAGAACTGGGTAGAGCTTTAAGCACCGTGCGCAGCGGTGAACAGAGCAACGATATGCGTGAAGATAGAGACCACTACCGTGACAATAGATGGAAGAAGATAGAGACCACCACCACACCGAGGCTCCGATGCTCCCTGATACAAATCGTCGCAAGGTGCGGTGCCACCATCTTTGCATGACCATCAACATCTGCCATCATTCAAGGCAGCAATCAACACAAACCACACCGACGAGTAACTCTGAAGTCGTCACTGCGTAGGGACGCTAAGAGTGGGTTGCCCTGAACGGCATCAAGCCTCTCATCGATGCCACGCGGACGATGCTCCGATGTTGTGTGTGATAAAGAGGAAGAAGGAAATATCGGGGATTAATCACGGTTTAGGATTTCGAATTAGAGAGAGGATAGAAAGAGAGTGACGAGAGTGAGAAGGGAGGGGACTAGGACTGTTAAATTAGGGTTTAAATTAGGTGAAAATTTAATTTAATAATATTATTATATTTATTAAAATATAAAATTATTACCTGATTTTTGAATAAGTAAACTTTAAACCTTACATCTTCCGTTTTTTCCTCTCAAGGGCTCCGCTAGGGTTTCCAAGTAGAGGTGAAATTTCCTGTTGACGTACAGGTTTGTTTTACCAGTTCAGTGATGGCAGAAGATCCAGAAAATCTCTATCAATGATTAACGTCGACGGAAGGAGAAGTACAGAGGTTTTCGTGGAAGGAGATACGTTGGAAGAAGCTTCATTGAGGGGGGAGCGCTGCTTGTGTAACTCCTGACCTCAAAATACTACAACAAAGAAGCTTTATTCAGTATTATGAGGAAGATCTGGTGGTTGGGTCGGTGAGTCTATTCTGGGAGTTAAATTCGACTATCTTATTGATCGAATTTGAAGATGTTAACGATAAATGGAAAGTCCTACGTGAGGGTCCTTGGGCTTCTGATAAATCTTTCTTACTGATGGGTGAAATTGATGGAAAGCAGCCAACTAATCAGATTCAACTCAAGCACAGCTTTTTCTGGGTGAGAGCACATAATCTGCTTTTCTCTACTTAGGCGGAAAAGCTTCTAGTCCAGATTGGCAGTTCTTTTGTTTGTGTTGAAGAGGTAGATGTGGATGAATGCAGTTTCACGTGAGGGAGTATATATGGCTTAGAGTAGTAGTGGATGTTATAAAGCCACTGCTCAGAGGAAAGAAAATCTGTATAGGGGTGAAGGCCTTGTTTGGACATGTTTCTCCTATGAGAGATTGCCCGATTATTGCTATCACTGTGGCAATATCGGACACTCTTTCAAGGATTGCATCCCTAAGGTTTCGAATTTGGTAGAAGAAGATATATCAAAATTTCCCTATGGTCCTTGGCTGAGAGCGAATAGTTTGGGAGAAAGGAGTCGAACATGAATGAATTTGGGCAACCGAAGTACAACTGGCTCATTTTCTGTGTCGACATCAGCTCGGCTAGTGGTTGCTACGGCACAGCACACAGCAGGAACATCTGTAGAGAGAATCACATAATTAAGCCGTTGAAACATGCGGAGGTTACAGAAGTACAAAGCGAAAATCATGGAATGATTACAGAACTGAATTATGGGAAGTAGATATTTGAGGAAATGATTGAGGAAAATTCTATGACGTCGCATAAAAAGGGAAAAGCTATTACAGGGGATTGTTTAGATCCAGGGATGATGTATCATGTGGAGATCTAAGGTGAGAAGGTGGCCCAAGTTTTTTTGGGCCATTTTGATAGAAATTGGCTGGTCCTGGGTAAGATTACCAGGTCGCCTCAGAGTGAAATGGAGGCCCGAGGTATTATGGGTTCAAATGATATGCAAGGGCCAGGTTTAATCTAAAAGACCAGTTCAACCCAAAGAGGCTTCATCAGAGTGCTCTTGGGAAACACCTATGGCTCGTAAACGCAAAGCATCCCTAGAATCCAGTGCAAAATGAGGAATTGGGGAGGATGATGATGCTATTCAGCAGGGCGAATCTACAAGGAAAATTCAAAGGAAATCGGCAGAGGCTGGAGTCCAGCCCTATCGAAGTCAATGAAGCTGCTTTCCTGGAATGCCTCGTGGGATTGGGAACCCACGTGGCATTCGTGCTCTTCGCGACTTGGTGGAGAAGCAAGGTCCTAAAGTCCATTTCCTTCAAGAAACGGAAAGGTGTAGGTATTCTCTTGGTTTACGGTAAATTGTGTGGGTAGAGGTGGGGGCTTGGCTCAGTTATGGTTAGCTTCTGTCGATATAACCATTCAGAGCTATTCGTCTAACCATATAGATGCTGTGTTGAAGGATGTTGGTAGGAATAAAGTTTGTTTCTTTATGATGGGTGTTTATGTTCATCCAGATGCCACTCAAAGGTACTGTTGCTGGAATCTGATTCGTAGTATACACCACTCTCATTCAAGTCCTTGGGTTCTATTAGGGGATTTTAACGAGATTTTCTGTAACGAGGAGAAAAAATGGGGTTGACCTAGACATGAAAGGCAGGTCGATGATTTCAGGAGGATGATGGATGATTGCTTGCTAAGGGACTTAGGGTATAATGGGGAGAAGTTTACCTGGTGTAACTGGAGGGACGGGACTAGTAGTGTACTGGAAAGGTTGGATAGAGCTGTTGCTAACCTTCAGTGGTGTACCTCTTTTCCACAAGCTGTTGTTATACATGGGTGTTCCCCGTACTCTGATCATATCCTATTGTGGTTAGAGGTAGAGTGTATAGACGAGAAAATGAAATGGAGTAAAAAAATGTTCAGATTCGAGGCTATGTGGGTGGGAGAAGAAGAATGTAAAAATATTGTTGATCGAGTGTGGAACATGGGGGGAGACAGGACCTGTCGTCGAAGAAGTGATGAAACTGATTTCTAATTGTGGAGCAGAGTTGCAATGCTGGAATGAAACAAGCTTTGGAAATGTTCAATCTAAGCTTAATAAAGCACAACAGAACCTTAAGTATATGTAGGATACGTGTCGTTTGGGTACAAATCAGATGTAGGAGGCGAGGAAACAAGTTCAAACTTAGCTGGAACGTGATGAACTCATGTGGAGACAAAGGTCTAAGGTCCTTTGGTTGAAGGAGGGTAACGACAATACTCATTTTTTCATAGAGATGAACAAGAAACTGTATTTCAAGACTGCAAGATGATAATGGATATTGGCTGGTAGGGGAAGAAATAGATAACCTGATCATGCAGTACTTCACAGCTTTGTTCTCAGCAAATACACAGGGGTTCTATGTCATTTTTGGAACCTTTAAGGGGCAGGGTGACTGCAGATATGAATGAACTGTTAACCAGAAGGTTTACAGTTGAGGAGCTTGAGTTCGCACTGAGGGAAATGGATCCGTTAAAGGCACCTGGCCCGGATGGGATGAGTCCAGTAAAACAAATTGATAACTCCTCAACAACCAAACTACACGTGGCTGTATTATCTCCTAGAATTCTTTTCCCATCTCATTTTCGATTAGAGCTTGATGGTTCCTTAAAATTAGTTGCCATTTATGGTTTAGGTTCCTTTATAACAATTTCAGGTTCCCTACTAATATTAAATTTTTCATGAATTATGACTTCTTCTTCAGAGTCACTATCATTAAATTTTTTATCAATATTTTCATTTATGAAATCTGAATCAATTGACTATTCATCGTCAGATTTTACTGTCATGACGGCTTCTTGGTTTCCAATGTTAATTTTCTTAACAATGGTTACAATTTTTTGTAATTCAGAGTCTTCAAATGCAAGAAGTACATTTAGAAGTCCTAAGTCTTGACTTTCTTCATAAATGTTTTCAAGATTTTTTCTGAAACTTGCCATATCAACTTAAAAAGTTAATATCAATTTTTCCTTTAATTTTCTCTGTATTAGTGGTTGTCGTTGTGGTATCACTACTTCTTTTTTTTTCATAAATTCCTAAAGACATAGTCTGTGGGATTTTCTTAATTGAATAGGTGTCTTGGGTTTTTACCCTTGCAATAATTACTGCATAGTGCTTTTCCATAGTTTTTTCTGTATTTTCTTGAGAAATTTTAAGAAGAATTTTTATTTCCTCAATTCTTTCTTTTAAAATTTTTATTTCTCTTAAAATGTATGCAATTGCCATTACTTTTCTCTGAAAAGAGCTTCCGCCATTAACTGTTTGTCTTAATTTTTTTAATTGTTTACTTCTGTTTGTTTCAGTTTCTTCTTTCCATTTAACTTTTGGAAGTGGTTTTTTGTTAAAAGACAAGCTTTTAGTAAGAAGTGGCTTCTGTTCTTTAACTAATGTTCTATGGTCATCAAGATTGATTTCTAAAGATTTTCTGGATGGTTGTATCAACCATTCGAATTATGTTTCTTTATGTTCAAGATCTGAGAATAAAGGATCAATCTTTATTCCTTTAGGCTCCTTGACTATAGTCATATTGTGTTGGTTATGAATGACATAACTAACAAGATATGATATTGAAAAAGGTACATTATTGCCTTTAACTAAATCTGTTCTTCCGTATTTGTGTACAAAAGATAACATTCCATCAAAGTTTTGGTCATGTAGACTAACTGAAAGTATAGGATAAACTGTAAATATCAGTTTTCCACATACCAAGTTCCCTTCATTATCAAGATCTACCTTTTGTTTGGCTTTATTTATGTCATGTTTAGTGAGCAAGAAAATTCCTATCTTACCATATGTATGTTGTACATGTATGACAAACTCTTTCTGAGATACACCATAATATACATGTCTATTTCTGTTTACAAATCTATTTATAAAACCAGGTTGATCAAAGATCTCTCTAGGTTCTATAGTAAGTTTTGTTTTACAGATTTTTGCTAATTTCTTATCTGAAATTAGAATTTCTTTAGACTAGTTTCCTTGTGATTCAATCTGATCATAGATCTCATCATTTTCTTGATTTTCATTATTATGGGGTTCAAGATCCATAATTAATGATGGTTATAAACATAATGTAAAATGAAGTCTTTAACTGCTTTATTATATTCTTTTAAAGCTTTTTCTTTTCTTTGTCTTTTGGCTTCACTTGCTAGTCTATGAACTCCAGCAAATGCAGAATAATGATAATCTTATTTATATAATCTAAACATTTCATATTCAGATACTAGTACTATAATTATGTGATGGCAAATTTCACAATCAATTCCTGTATTACTCATGGTTTTGAGTATTCTAAATTTTTTTTTAATATATGCAACAGTTAACTCGTTATTTATAATTCTTATGTAAAACCTTAAAGCCTCTTTAAAGGTTATGTCTTTATATTCTTTAAATCTACTGTTATTGAGTGGTCTTCTCATTTTATTCAATTAGTATGGCTCTGATACCAATTTTTGGAGATTGGGTGGCGGAATGTAAACTATTAAAAATGTATGAAAATGTAGACAATGGATGCCAACTGGAACACATGTAAAATAAATAATTAAAAGACTTTTAAGCAAATAAACATTCTTACTGTATGTTGAGATTTGGTTCGTCTTCTTACGTTTCTGTCTGATATGCTGTCCTTGCCTCACTATTTTGGATTGTCTAGACTTTTTCCCTAATAGACTCCTGCCAAGTGGTACTCCTTTATCCTTGATCCTTATAGATTCGTACATGAAAATTGCAATTCAGAGTAGAAGTATGAAAACATGATGAAATTTTATTCAAAGAAGGTTTAAGAGCCAAAATTCTCTTAAACTTTATTTAATTACAAGTGATTTAGATCCAGTATGGATTCATTGTCTTGGAGGGTTTAGCCTCAAACGATGTACATGAAAGTTTTCAAAATAAAGAAAAAATTTCTCCAGAAAATTTCTCCTCCTCTTCATTCTTCTTCTGTCTTCCTTTTATAGTTGGATGAGAAAGATTCTCCCTCATCTCTGTCGTCCACTTGTCATCTATCAGCAGTTTTTCTTTTGCAAAAGCAAAATCAATGATAAAGGGATACGACAATTCTTCTTTTTCATAGTGGATGATTATCCACTCATAAAGCAAAAGTAGATGCTTTTTATTCTGACTGGTCCTCGTGGCTTTCACTGTTACTTTCACTGGATCCTTCTATCGGTAGAGCATCTTTTGCTTTTTGCTCTTCTATCATTTCACACCACTAGCATGCATGATATTTTCCAAGGCTTTGTCTGAGTGCCTTGCATAATTCTCCTTTGTAATCTGAAGGAGTGTTTGGTACACTGTAAAAATTCTTCTCAAAGCTACAAAGCTTCTTGATATCTTCCTTGGAGATTAAAGAACTTGTTTTGCTAGTGACTTAGATAAAATTAGAAAAATGATTTATCTTAATCTTTGACTCTCCGCCAAAATTCTTTAATCCTGTCAAGATTCTCGGGTAGGATAAGCTCTTCCATTCATTAAGTAATTGTTCATTGACTTTTTCGATTTTTCCTTCAATTGGCTGATTAAGGAAAATTTCTAGAACTGTCTTGATCTGAATATGATGATATCCTTTAATTAGGATATTATATTCTGTAAAGAAAGGAATTGTACTATTTATCTTGAGTATTATCTGTAATTCTTGGTTTTTAATAACAAATTTACGGAAATCCTTTAATGTTTTCAATAAATTTCTATCAATTTCTTCAAAATCTTTTCCTGGAATTATCATTTTTGTTAATCTGCAGTGAAAAGCAATCTGTACCATGACTGGATCAGCTCCTTGAAGAAAAGTAAACTGACCAAATCTTTTTTCAAATGATCCAAAGTAGGTTTTCTCAGGTGCTGAGGCTCCTACAATTCTTGCTTCTTCTTCAAATTTTAAGAAATCCTGAATATTTATTCCTAGAATAAATGGGACTTCTTGTTGTTTTGGAATTTTTCCAATTCTTTTAAACCTATCTGGTATGGGTTCTGAGTCTGAAATAGATTGAGCTGCATCTTTGTAGGTCATCAACCTAATTCTTTGATTTTCACTTGGTGGCGGTCTGAAAATATAGGCTGGTAATCTGGGCCTTGCTGTTCTTATGCTTTGGGCATAATTTGGTATGAAATTGAGACTATTTTGGTCAAAGAGTTATTTGTAAGGAATTGGGCTTATTCCTTTGGATTCATGGTATTCAAAGAAAGCGTTTTGGGCTTCTAAATAAGTTTTGAAACATTTTAGTGTGGTTTATTTTTCATAAGCGGTTCTACTTGTATCCAATTTGTATAAATCCTTTTGCTGGTCCATCAAAAATCACGTAGAATTTTGTACCTGCAAGAGAAGCATTAACACCAACAAGTGGTGAGTCTTTAAGTCCACGAATATTTTCCTGGACTTTCAATTCAATTTTTGGGCTTTGAATGCCCTCATGTTCTTGAGAACATTGTTCAAACCAACTTTTCAAATTTTGAATATCCTTTTGTTCTTGCGAACACCGAGATTTCAAATTCTCATATGTCTTTTTGTTTTCAATAGTCTTGCTATTGTCAACATCAATTTTTGGGTTTGGAATACCCTTTTGTTCTTTCGAACATTGAGCACTCTGCTCTGTCGTTTTATCTTCAGTAGTCTTGCTACTTTCAATTCCTTTTGTCCGAGAAATTTCAGAAGTTGAGGCCTTTTGTTTTAAAAGTTTGGCTAACTTCTTTTTTTAGAATTTGTAATTTCTGTTGTCTTGTTGAGATTTCCATTTCTTCTATCTCAATCTGTAGTTCTAGATCATCAATTTGATCTTCAAAGTCTGTCATTTTTACCTGCAGAAACAAATTCTCTAATTAATGCATAGGCTAAAGAATTATCTTTGCTTTTAATTATTTCAATGTCAAAGTCATAATGACTGAACCACATCTGCCATCTAACAAGTCTTCCTTGTTTGTAGTCTGGGTGTACCTGATTTTTCAGAAATGCTCTGCAAGTAGTTGAATCAATTCTAAAAAGAAATTTATTAGAAATGATATAA